CTCTCTCTTCCTCTCTCTCCTTCCCACTCTATCTGAACAAAAAATGGAAAAATGTCCTTGGGTGAAGATAAAAAAAAATATATATATATATAAAAGAACTGATTGGGTTGCAGCCAAGGTCTCCAACTCCCTCCTCCCTTGATATAAGAAAAGAATTCTGATAAACAGGATGTTCCAGATCACTACCCCAGGTATCCAGATTGAATCACCCTGGGAGTGGAGCCCCCCCTTGGTCTTCTTGCGGTTATACCTATGCAAATAGTCAAATCACATTTCCCTCTCCCTCTAAGGGCTGCCAGCCCCGCACCCATAAATCCCCTATATAACCCTGCCTGTTGGAGATACTGGCACTGACCCCGCCTTAGGAGTCAGCCCTGCAGGTAACTCTCCAATAAAGTTCTCTTGCCTGAACTCAGGTGTGTTCCTCCTTCGGCCAACCTTTCATTTTAGTGCCGAAACCCTGGAGGGGTGTCTGCCAGGACCTGCTGGATCGCCCTTTTCTCCCTTTACTCAACCCCCAGGCTTGATCTGCCTCCTGGCTGCCCCTCCTGGACCTGCCAAGAGGACACCCTCTCTCCAGGGCTCTCCACCCCTGCCATTGCCTACTCTACAAACACCACCAGCCTGGTTTCTCCTTTTACGGGTGAGTAACGGGGTCTCCTAGTCCGGGTCTCCTATCTTTCTGTCGGCTTCGGTCTTCAAAAGTCCTAGTGCTAGGCCAGGAAGACTCTCGACCTTCGGGTCCTGATCCTCACAAATTCAGGATGACCAATTTGTGAGTGATCCTCCTCTCTCGCCTCTCGGAGACTGGCCAGGGGAACGGGGACGCCCCTTCCCTTTGCCCTTCTCCTCCTAGGGACCCTCACACTCACCCTTTATAGCCTCCAACTCCACATCATGGGAACCTCACAGTCTCTTCCTTCGAAGGACACTCCATTGGGATGTCTCTTTTGGAATATTGACTCTCGGTTTTCGAGATGTAGTCAAACCCAAGAAACTCATCTTTTATTGCAATACTACTTAGCCCCAGTACCAGCTAGATGAGTCTCAGTGGCCCGAAAATGGCACTTTTGACTTGAACACACTTCAAGATCTTGATAACTTCTGTCAACGCTATGGCAGATGGTTGGAAATCCCCTACGTTCAGGCCTTCTTTACCCTCCAATCTTGCCCGTCTCTCTGTCAGTCCTGTACTACATATCAAATTCTTTTAGCACACTCCAAACCTCCTCCTCTAGCCGACTCTGAACTTCCCCACTTTGATCCTGTCGATCATAGTGTCCCACCATCAGCCCCATCTATTCCTCCTCCCTATGTCTTCCTCAGGACCCCATCCCCACCCCAAGATGTCTCCCTGCCACCTGGGGACCATTCGAGCTCAAAGTCAGAACCTGACTCCCCAGGTCTCCCCCCTCCCCGTCATACTCGCTCACGCACAGGATGGCGGGCCCCTCCAGCACCTCTCCTCCCCCTCTGAGAAGTAGCAGGCGCTGAGGGGATTGTCCAAGTCCACATCCCGTTCTCCCTCAGACCTGTCCCAGATAGAGAAGAAAGTAGGCTCCTTTTCCACCGACCCAGACACTTATTTGAAGGAGTTTAGATACCTAATCCAGTCATACAACCTGACCTGGCATGACCTCTGTATTATCCTCTCTTCTACCTTACTACCTTACTACCTGAAGAGAAGGAACAGGTCTGGCTGGCTGCGCAGGCACACACGGATGACCTGCGTAGGGCAGACAACCAAAAACCTGTGGGAGCGGCAGCTGTTCCCCAGGAAAACCCTAATTGGGACTATCAGGTTAGTAAACCTGGCAGAGACCTCTGTAACCATATGGCCACCTGCCTAAAACCAGGCTCCAGAAGGCCGTTCACAAAGCAGTTAACTATGAAAAACTCCGAGAAATATCACAAAGGGCAGATGAAAATCCAGCCCAATTCTTGGCCTGCCTAACAGAGGCACTCCTAAAATATACTAAAATCGACCTCAGCTCGGTCGAGGGGCCTATAGTTCTTAACACTCATTTTATCTCCCAGTCAGCCCCTGATATTCGGGAAAAAATTTAAAAGGCGGAAGAGGGCCCTCAAACCCCTCAACGAGATCTCCTTAGTATGGCTTTTAAAGTCTGTAATAACTAAGAACAGGCAAAGGCAGAAAAGGCCCAAAGAGATCAGGTGAAATTCCAGCCTTGGAGTCCTGTGGCAATATAAGGGCCCCACTTTCGCCCTGGTAGCCTATCTAATCGAAACAGCAGGACACCACTGTACGAAGCAGGCCAACCTGTTTCTGTGCTCTAGCTGCAGCAGCCCTTTTTGCCCAGGAAAGCTGAAAACTCACTTTTGGCCAACAGACTACCATTCTTTCACCTCATCTCCTAAAGGATCTTCTTTCCTATAAGGCCCTGGGACAGCTTTCCCCCTCTATGCTCCAGCTCTTACATGCTACCTTATTTGTTGTTTTTGCAACAGTAAATAGAATTGTCTTTTTAGTTTCTCTTTCTGAGAGTTTATTATATTGGTGTATAAAAATGCATCAGTTTCTGGTTGTTGATTTTGTATCCTGCTACTTTGCCGAATTCATTTCTTTATTTTTTAATTTATCTTTATGGTTGAAAGTATTATAGATATCCCTCTTTTTTTTCCCCATTGACACCCTCCTTCCCGCTCCTGCCCCCCAAATTCATTTATTAAGTCTTGTAGTGTTTTGGTGGTGTCTATGGTTTTCTATGTACAATATCATGTCATCTGTACACAATGACAGTTTTACTTCCTCCTTTCCAGTTTAATGCCTTTTATTTTTTCTTCTTGTCTAATCACTGGCTAGGATTTCCAGTACTATGCTGAATAAGAGGGGTGAAAGTGGACTTCCCTGTCTTGTTCCTGATATTAATAGAAACATTTGTAGTTTTTTCCCATTGAGTATGATGTTGGCTGTAGGTTTTTCATATATGGCCTTTATTATGTTCAGGTATGATCCATCTATTCCATTTTGCTGAGAGTTTTTATTATAAATGGGTGCTGGATTTTGTCAAATGCTTTTTATGCATCTGTTGATATGATCATGTTATTTTTATCCTTCATTTTGTTTATTTGATGTATCACATTTATTAATTTGCTAATGTACCATCCTTACATCCCTGGAATAAGTTCCACTTGGTCATGGTGTATGATCTTTTTAATGTATTGCTGGATCCAGTTTGCTAATATTTTGTTGAGGATTTTAGCACCTCTTTTCATCAAGGATATTGGCCTATAATTTTATTTCTTTGTAGTGTCTTTATCTGGTTTTGGAACTAGGATAATGCTGGCCTTGTAAAAAGAGCTTGGAAGTCTTACCTTCTCTTGAATTTTTGGGAATAGTGAGGAGGATAGATGTTATTTCTTTAAATGTTTGGTAAAATTTGCTCGTCAAGCCATCCAGTCCAGAGCAAAAATATATTTTTTGGAGTGCCGCAAAATTTTAGTAATTAGTTTGTGTACCATAAGATGAAAAATGTTGTAAATTGTTGCTCTAGGTCAGTATTAATCATTCCTTTTTTTTTTATCCTTACCCAAGGATATTTTTACATTTATTTCCAGATAGAGTAAGAGGGAGGGAGAGAGAGAGACAGACATCCATGTGAGAGAGAAACACTGATTGGTTGCCACCCGCACGACCCCAACTGAGGTACATGCCCTTGGCCGAAATTGAACCAAGGACTCTTTGGTCCACAGGCTGACGCTCTAACCATTGAGCCAAACTGGCCAGGGCAATCATTCCTTTCTTTGTATTCTCTTAGCATTTTACTTTTTTATCTAATATTACACCTTTAAACTTGTATTATACATTATGATTATGTTTATTAAATTGTCCAAATGTTAATTTAAATAAATGTTTTTGGTTTATTGTCAAACATTTTTGTGCCTATTGTTTTTTTTTTTTTATCCTCACCCGAGGACATTTTTTGCATAGAGAGAGAGAGAGAAACATCAATGTGAAAGAGACACATCGACTGGTTGCCACCCACACTACCCCAACCAGGGTTGGGACAAACTGCAACTAACGTTCGCACCCTTAGCGGGAACCATGCCTGGGTCTCTCTGGACCATGGACCAAAGCTCTAACCGCTGAGCCAAACCGGCCAGGGCTCCCATTGTTTTTTTTGTTTGTTTTTAATCCTCACTTGAGGACATTTTTCCATTTTTTTGTTCGGAGAGAGAGAAAGAGAGAGACATCGATGTGAAAGGGACACATCGAATGGCTGCCTCCTGCACGACCCAGCCAGGACTGGGGACAAACTGCAACTGAGGTATGCGCTCCTTGCAGGAACAGAACCCGGTTCTCTCTGGACCACAGGCCAACCTCCAACCGCAGAGCCAAACCAGCCAAGGCTGTTTTTTTTTTAAGCTGTGTTTTAGATGGTTAAAAGTACCATAAACTGATCTTTAAATAAATGAACTATTATAGCTAATAACAAAACTATGGATAGGGAAATGTTGATTGCCCTTTGAGATATTTAGTAATGGTCGGATAAGATAATGGTTTTCAGCTTATATTTAAAATATATCCATATTTTGCTACACATGCTTAATATTTGAGCTTGAGCAACTGAAGTCATAGTATCTAGTATAATTGTTTGAAGATTTTGTATATATAAAAACTTTAATGCTCTTAACTAAAAAAAGGAGATACCATAAGAATTATTTACTGAGAAGGTGAGAAATGGCTGCTTGTGGCAAACACTGTCATTGCCCACCCAATATCCATTCTCCCTTAATATTTTATTAATAAAATAACCTTGATTTTGTTTGGGGTGATACTGTACTTAGTTAAAAAACAAATCAACAAATAAAGTCTCTTTCCTGAATTGTAAGCAAAAGCTTGCTGGGGATTTATGGGCAAGTTTTTTCTGTCTGAGATTCCTGGAGTTTTAGCAGCCATGATGTGACCATGAGTCAACATTTGTCAAGTGCTTAGAAAAGCACCTAGCACGTAATATGTGTTTGTTAAACAACGGTGCAACAAGGGCTGTTATGAGTGGCACACATAGGGCACCTTGATTGCTCTACATGCGGAATCAACATCAGGAGATTTCAGAAGAATAATTTTTTGGTATCTGGGCAGCCAGTGATCATTGGTCCCAGTACCCATTAAAAGAAAAATGTGCATGGTATCAAGATTTATCATGCTCTGTAATTTATTAACACATAGTGATTTATCTTTTTGTCTTTTATGTATCTTGATTACACTTTTGAGAAAAGAAAATTATATATACCAACCGGCTTGAATGTATTTTTAATTTTTACATGACAACAATTTAGAATGTTATACACTCTAGCTTACAAATTGATTGAGTACACACTGCTTTCAGGCAGTTCCAGCCTGCCATTCCTAACTCATTTTTCCATTCTAGCCCTTTGTTCCATTGTTTAGTTAATCAGTGCCTTTGTTATTAAAAATACTTAATGGTGAGTTTCATCTCTTCAAATGTTATGTAAGGTCTGCAATGTGTAGTGTTTTTATTTGTGCATTTCTTAAAGGCCCAGGGTATGCTTGTTGAATAAAAGAATCTTCAGTTTTTGAAAAGCAATGTCTAGTAATATCATAACAGATTTGTTCAAATAATCTTTGCAGTAAAGGAAATTCAAAGCCCATTCCACCATCTGTGATGTCAATACCCATATTTGTTTCATTGCGAAGGGGTCTGGATAACGGTTCTCATCACTTTAGGGCACAACACCCACAACGTAGTGACATACAAAGCAACATTTGGTGACACATTTGGGAATTTTCTGGATGACACATACTTTTTTTATTTTTATTTTTTATCCTTATCCGAGAATATGTTTTTTTTTTATTTTTAGAGAGAGAAGAAGGGTGAAAGAGAAACATTAATGTGAAAGAAACATCGATCAGTTGCTTCCAATATGCACCCTGACTGGGGATTGAACCTGCAACCTAAGTATGTGTTTTGACTGGGAATCAAACCTGCAATGCTCCAGCCAACTGAGCCATACTGGCTGGATGACACTTTTTTTTTTTATTCCTCACCCAAGGATATTTTTCTACTTATTATCAGATAGAGTGGGAGGGAGGGAAAACAGAAAGAGAGAGAGAAAAACATCGATGTGATAGAGCCACATGGACTGATTGTCTCCCTCACGACCCAACCAGGGCTGGACATGAACAGCAACCAAGGTATGTGCCCTTGAATGGAATTGAACCCACAACTCATTGGTCTGTGGGCCGATGCTCTAACTGCTGAGCCAAACTGGCCAGGGCTGGATGACACATTCTTAAAGGATGCTGATAAAGGATCTTGGTTTACTTATTTAAATTATCCTCCCTATTCTTTGCTCTGCTGTTTGTAGCTTCCTCCTGTGTTTTTCCTGATCATACTTAAGTGTTTTTATCACATAAATATAACAAAGGGGGGGGGGGAGTCAATCAAAAGGAAAAGAAACTGTTTACTGTAACAGTCAAAGCTTTATTTTATGTTTCTAAACAGGTTTAGCTTCTCCAAATGAGGAAAAAGTATAAAAACTTTAATGTAAACTTATACTGTAGAATAGCGTATGCCTGTGGTATAGTAAGACCATACAGAATCGCCATTTGTTATAAGTTGCTTAATAACTATCAGTGGCAAAGCCATAATTATCTATGAATAGCTGCATTTCAGATTGCGCATACTGTCACAAATATATGTTGTGCAAGTTGTCTTGCTATTGATGGATAAGCGTGGATATTATAAAACCAGTAATGTGAATCAAGATTATGTATCACTTTGCAGAGTAATCAGAGATATTTAGACATCAACTCTGAGACACTGAGCCAATATCTTGTTTTGCTTTCTTAGGGTGTTTAGAGGTAGCATGGAGGATAGTTGGGAACTGGCAGGATAGGTATACCAGGTTCTATTTGACAACGATTTAGAGTAGCCCTTTGCATGTATCTCTACTCACTGCCCTATAACATACATACTTACAGTTATTCTTTAAAGTACTGTGTATTAAGCTGTGAGCTTCTTGAGGGCAAGGACCACAGTTCATTGATCATTTTGAAGAAAAGTTAATTCTGAGGAATGCAGTGGTTGATGAGCTCGCCTGGTATTTGTTTCTCTGTAGCTTATCATCAAAGAGATGAATGCACATATGAATAAGAAATAATTGTTCTACTTAATCAGTTATTTAAAGTGATGTTATTAATCAAAATCAAGGCTATGATTAGAAAGAGGTATGAAGGGGTTTCTGGGGTGCTAATAACATTATCTTGACTTACTTGGGTGCTAGTTTCTTGGGAGATGTTCACTTAACAAAATTCATCATCCCCTGGCCTGTTTGGCTCAGCAGTTGGAGCGTTGGCCCACGGACGAGGGTGGCCCAGGTTTGGTTCCCGCTGAGGGCGTGTACCTCGGTTGCAGTTTGTCCCTGGCCCCGGTTAGGGTCGTGTGGGTGGTGGTCACTTGATGTCTCTCTCTCACATAGATGTTTCTCTCTTCCTCCCTCTCTCCCTCCTGCTCTGAGGATAAATGCAAAAATGTCCTTGGGTGAGGATTTAAAAAAAAAAAAAATCATCATGATATGTAGTCTTTTCATTTAGGCATTTTTCTGTATATATATTTTGATTTTAAAATTTACATGAGAAGACATTTAATCCACCCCTACCCAAGTCTTAGGAAATAATCCTCAAGAGATATTGATGCGTTATACTGTGCTCCTTGTATCTCCCTCTGCTTCAATCCTATCTCATATTTTAAATGACCTCCCATTTATTTTATAAAACCTTGTTTAATCTTGGCAGCAGTTCTCAACCTGTGGGTCACAACCCCTTTGGGGGTCGAATGACCCTTTCACAGGGGTCGCCTAAGACCATCAGAAAACATATTTCCGATGGTCTTAGGAACCGACACACCTCTCCTCTATCCATCTCCAGACAGGTCTGCCCACATGCAGATACACCCACATACAACATGAGGAACTGTATTAAAGGGTCACGGCATTAGGAAGGTTGAGAACCACAGCTTTACACAGTTTACAGCCAGCCTAAGGTAATCACCTATCCTGACTGACAGTTTCTTACAGATGGCTTCTATGCTGCTCGTGTCGGTTCTTCCTCTTTCCCGGCCTATATGGACAGGTCTCCTCGTTTGAAACCTAAGAATTACTGCTTCAGAAGTATTTAGCATTTGAAGTACTCAGAGTTTTATAATCTGCTAAATTTTACCCTAACCTTGAGTGCTAAGTGTTATCTCAGAAATAGAGTCCTTTTGCCCAGAATTCATCTACCAGGGAATTTTCTTTGACTACAATTTCTTTTAAATTTTTTTTCTTTATTCATTTTAGAGAGGGAGGGATAGAAACATTGATGAGAGAGAACATCGATTGGCCACCTCCTGCATGCCCCCCACTGGGGATCGAGCCCACAACCTGGGCATGTACCCTGACCAGTAATTGAACTGGCGACCTCTTGGTGCATGGATTGACACTCAACCACTGAGCCACACCGGCCAGGCTCCAGTAATTTCTTTTAACCAGCAATTTTCATACTTCTGGTCACAATGGTTGCAAACCAATTTAGAGACTCAAACTAGAAGGTAGTAGAACTAAGTAGGGTGGTTTCAGTGAAAGGGGAGTGTGAACTTGAGGTGGTTACTGTTATTAGGTCTAGTTGACTTGAGGTGGAGAAGGCTCTAATTTTTTTAATGTCATTTTGGGTGAGGGCAAAGATTGCTATAGTGTGATTGCCCATATGCATATTATTATTATTGTTTTAATTAGTATTTTCTGTTAGTGGGTAGAATTGAATTAGTAGAGAAGTGCCTGCTGGGCCTTCCATGGTAGAGGGTAGTCATGAGTAATCTGAACTGGGCTGATTTACTGGTGGCAGCTAGTAATCTGGTGAGCAGGAAGTTGGTGTTGTCAAAGTTGAGTAAAATGATCTATTATAATTCTCATGTGTTAGAGTTGATTAAGAATCATGCTTTGATATAATAAATCTGATATTTGTCTATATGGTTATGTAAGATGGCTTACAGGGCCATAGTATTAGCATCTGCTCAGCGTATCATGAGCCAATGAACAGAAATGACATAATTCCTACTCCTCACCAATAAATAATTGAAAAAGACTCTTGGTGGTAACTAGGATTAGTATTGTGATGAGAAATATGAGTGTATATATCATATTGAGAATTCTATAATGGATCATGTGACAAATAGTGCTACTGGTATAAATATTAGTGAGAAGTAGACTAGTTTGAAGCTGAATGATCATTTCATAGTTTGAATTATTATTCATTGTCAGTTAGAAATTACTATTTCTCGCCCTGGCCAGGTAGTTCATTTTGTTAGAGCATCATCCCGATAGGCCGTAGTTGCTAGTTCAATCCCTAGTCAGGACACATACAAGAGAATCAAGCAATGAATACGAAAACAAGTGGAACAACAAATTGATGTTTCTCTCTCTCTCCCTCCCTTATGGAAAAAATATCCTCAGGTGAGGATTAACAACAACATAATTATATATATATGTGTATGTGTGTGTGTGTGTGTGTATATATATATATACACACACACATATATATAAATATATAAATTTATTTATTTATTTCTTGGCCAAAGTAAACATTATAGTAAGGATTAGGCTGGCGATAATGGTGTATGAGATTATAGTTTTTACATAGTGTGGGTATAGAATATATTTCTGAATATTATAGATGGTTATTATGACTGGTATAATTAGTATAAGTAGCAAAATTATTGAGGCGACAAATAGATTTACTACTTTTATTTGGAGTTGCACCAGTTTTTTGGTTAGACCAATAGATAACCTCCATCCTCCACAAGTCTGAAAAAGCCACACTGTTAAGTGTGGGGGCGTGAGTTAGCAGTTCTTGCATACGTTTTTGATAAATAAGAATTTTTACATTCTGTTATTACATTCACAAGTTAATGTTTTGGTTAAACAGTATTTACAAATACAAAGTCTGTAAATTGATCTTGGGGTTAATAGTAGTAGGAGTATTCAGTGCATTAATATGAGTGTTTTCTCTTATAAAGGATGCTTTAATATGTTAATATATGTGGTTGCCTCATTGGGTTATAATTAGCATGTAAAGGGAATATAAAGCAGCAATAACAATGTTAACTCCTATAAGAATGATGAATGGCCCAGCTGGTGTGGCTCAGTGGTTGAGCGTCTACCCCTGTACCAAGAGGTTGCTGGTTCAATTGCCAGTAAGGGCACATGCCCAGGTTGTTGGGGCATGCAGGAGGTGGCCAGTCGATGTTCTCTCTCATCGATGTTTCTATCTCTCCCTTCCCCTCTCTCTAAAAATCAATAAAGAAAAAATATTTTTAAAAGAATGATGGATAGGTGGTATCAAGAGAATGTTGATATAACTACAAACAGTTCTCCAATCAAGTTGATCATAGGAGGTAGAACTAGGTTGGTGAGAGTTGCTAATGGTCATCATGATGCTATGAACGGGAGAACTGTTTGTAGGCCATGAATTAAAATTGTAGTTTGGTTATAATTTAATCTTTTCCAAGCATTTTACTTTCAGAATAAATCATTTCTTTCAAACAAAAAGACAGTTGTATTTCTAAGGTATTTACTGAGGTCAAATACCAGGGCAATCTAAAGTGCTAGAGTAGGTCAGCAAATCACCAGAAAAAAGAACTTAACATTAACAAGTGTATTGCTATCAATCCTGTTTCCTATTCCACCAAATTCTGAAGGTTCAGAGCCCACAGCAAATACCTAAGATCTCTTAGTAGTGACAGCTGCCTTCCTAGCTCTGGTCTCTCAGGACCTCCCCATTCTTCCTACAAGAATTAGATGGTTCTCTCTCTCTCTCTTTCGCCCTGTGTGTCAGTTGTCTTTGGCCTCAGTTTTATTTCCCGAAAGGCTGAAATCACAGCCATAACTTCCAGATTGCCACAGGCTCTGTCCTGCAATGCTGAAAAAATACTGCTCAGTTTTTACAGCTGGCAAGAATATGCCTTCCTAGGAAATGTAGTACTGACTTCTGAGGGAAAACCGGTGTTTTACTAAATTTGAATTAAGAAGACACAACTCCTTTGGATAGGAGTCTGAGGAGGTGAGGAAGAAGAAAGGGGAGAGAATATATATCAGGATTGTGTCTGATTTTAAAAGATATGCCTTGTTTTAGAGCCAAAAACAGTATGTAGTATCTGCTAAACTATAATTATCATGATTCAGAAAATGTAAGAGGTGTTTTTTAGTCTACCTATATGATATTTGTAGTAATCTGAAATCTTCAGTTTCAGGGAAATGGAAAACTTTTCTATGAGGGATCTACATGTTTGAACCTGCCTCCCTCTACTCAAGCCCAAAATGGTTAACATTCATAGCACTGTAGAATATGTTACAGTTATTTTTTTAAACTATCCATATTGATCAATTTTAGAAGGTATTACTGTCATCATGTGATGTCGTTTCTTCTTTATATGGCATATAAACTAATGGAAGGCAAAGTGAAATTAACTGATTGCCATGCTGTGGTCTGGTGGAAAAACAAAAAGTAATATGGGGAGTATTCAGTCAACAATATTTACAAACGAGTCCTATACAGTAAGACTGTGTAGCAGAAGTGTAGATCAGCGGTTTTCAACTTTTTTTCATCTCCTGGCACACACAAACTAATCACTAAAATTCTGCGACACACCAAAAATTTACTTTTTTGCTGATCTGACAAAAAAAATAGGTATAAGTTTGATTCATTCGCACCAGACAGCTATTGTTGTGTTGGCTGTTGTCATTTTTTAAATTTGACAATCTTAAGGGTAAAGAGGTCAGGTATGGCATGTTTTAAAAATTCTTGCAACACACCAATGTGCCACAGCACACTGGTTGAAAATCACTGGTCTAGATCATTATCTTATTTTAGGAAAATCTAAGAAACAGTTTGGGGGATGAGGAACTTGATTCAATCTAGCACAGTGGGCCTCAGCCACCATCATGCAAGTAACCAGCAGGAACAGTCAGGTATAGACCACAAGTGGCCCAAAAGAGCTTTCAAGCCTTCCCCAGAGGGGCCAGAATAAGTGATTGTGAAGCTGTATCCACCTGCCTACTCAGCTGACTCGAGCTCCCACATCCTCTCCTCTATCCTTGTAAATTCAGAGCTGGCTGCAAGTGGGAGCACCAAAGAGCCTGCACAGTAAATGTTTCTACTATTACCAGAGCTGCTACTAAGACCACAATTATCATTATGTGAGCACACACTGCCCTTGACAGCAACTTTGGCTTTACTGTAATAACAATAAAGACATGACAACTAATATTGACTGAGCTCTCATTTGCTGGGCAGTGTGCTAAGCACTTTTTTAAACTTGAACACAACAATGATGCTTTGAGGTATGGACTATTACTAACTACTATTTGCGGATGAGGAAACAGACTCAGAAGGATTAAGTTATTCACTCACAGTCAGTAGGTGGAGACCTGAAATTCGAAGCTAGAAGTTCTGACTCTGGACAGATCCCCACTCTTACTGCCACTCCACCTGGTCAACTAACATTCTATTTACCCACTTTCCTCTATTAACTGATTCCTCTTAACTCCTAAAAGCACTGTGATTCATCACCGTTATCTGGGTATGACACTGTACAAGATTCAGAAGTCCTCATTTGTGAAAAATAAGACCTACTGTCTCAGGCAGTAACAAGAGTTCATGGCACCTTTCTCTTCTGTTGGAGGGATGGAGCTGGGAATAGCAGTTCACCACAGGTCTCATGAGGATGGAACTTGAGATATCAGTCTTCCTCTAGGAAGAACCAGCAGCATCAACACGTCCCCACCTTGACCTGGATGCACTGGGGTTATACTTAATTTGAACTTCTGTTGGTATAATATGCCATTTTTGTTTTTAAAATTTCTATTTCCTGTTCATTCTGTCTGTCCCAAGAGGTAACAGATGTGAAATTTACACTCCTTAGAAGATAAAAGCAAGCTTTGAAATGCAAGGAAATACTTGAATTAACCCTAATAAAACATTCAAGGACAATAAAGCTTCATTAAATGGTTCCATATTTTTGTTGAAATATATAAAAATATTTTCTAAAAACATGACATAAAAGACAATGTGAAAATCACCATATTTTACAGAAATATGTCCATCCTCAAGTGTTCGTTTTTAATATTCCAACTGCAACTTTCAGGTCTAGAGGGAGTCATTTTAAACCCCCTTCTGTGACTACTGTTTACACATTTAAACTATGAGGAAAAGTCTCTTAGAACTTAGTTCTACTATTTAAAACAAAAGCAAAACACAGAAATCAGTTTGCAGTCAGATGTGATATGAGGGCCAAGACAGTTCTTAAAATGAAGAGTTGCATTAGGTGGAACCAAGAGTCTAGAAACTCCATTTTTCTTCCCTCTTTCTTGTTGGTAATTCCAGAAGTCTGTACCATGCATGCTCCCTTAAGTTTCTTATCATTATCTACACATCGTACACAGATGTCACAGTGCATTGTACTCCACACATTTTGATGGATCTGTCGGAAAGTGCTTCTGGCAAATGGTCATTAACCTCTTCAATCCCTAAGAAAATAAGGAAAATGAAGATTGGTTATGATACAGTTAAACTTTTTTAAATTGCCTTCCTCTGTACTCCAGTTTACCAATGTCCCCATTAAAATGTGGCAGTCCCCAGCCCTGGCTGGTGTGTCTTAGTTGGTTGAGCATTGTCCCATGCACTGAAAGGATGCCGGCTCGATTCCCAGTTGGGATATGCCTGGGTTGCAGATTTGACCCCTGGTGAGAGAGTGTATAGGAGGCAACCAATCGATGTTTCTCTCTCCCTTCCTCTCTAAAATCAATTTTGAAGAAAACATACTTTTAAAAATACATCAAATCAATCAAAATAATTACTTAAAATGTGGCAGTCCTCAGCAATACCACTCAGACGTATATTGAGAGAAATGTTTATTCATGTGCACCCAGAGATATGTGTAAGATGGTCAGAGCAGAATTGTTCACAATAACAATAGCAAAAGAACTGGAAGTAACCCAAATGCCCATCATAGGAGAATATATGAAAAAGTATGCTCACAAATGGAACATTTTACAACAGTCTAAATGAATTCTAGAGCTTTATATAACAACTTGGCCTTTCTTCACCAGGTTCCAGTAGAGAATTAAACCCCACTGCCTAGCATAAAGCATCCATTGTACGTAATGAGACAGCTCCTCTCCTTTGTATGTAAAGGGTGCTACATATGTACCATCCTTGAGAAACATAAGAAAATAGGCACTCAAATCATCTTCTGTGTTCTGTGGTTCAGATGGAGAATTCTGGTTGAGAACAGATAGACATGAATCTTAGAAACAATGTTGACTATAAACAGCAAGCAGCAAAAGCTGTATACAGTACAAGAGCATTTTAATAAAACTCAAAAACAAAAATAATATATTGCTTAGAAATACATAATATGGAAAAAATATTTTGAAAAAGGACACATCAAACAAATTCAAGGTAATGGTTACTTCTGGAGTAGAGAAGGAAAATACAGATTCATGATCTTCAAAATGCTCTAGTTCTTAAACTGGGATTATGTTTTATTTATTTCTCCCTGCCTCTCTCCCTCCCTCCCCGAGGACATGCTTAGAGAGAGAAGGAAAGAAACATTGATGTGCTAAAGAAACATCAACTGGGGATCAAACCCACAACCCAGGTATGTTCTCTGAACAGGAATCAAACCAATGATCTTTTGGTCAAGTGGCACAGGATGACACTCAACCATCTGAGCCATTCCAGCAGAGCAAGGTCTTTAGATAACTGTTTTTACTTCATAACTTACATGTTACATGTATTCTTTTGTATGCAACTAAATACTACATAATATAAACATTTTAATAGCATAAAAACTGAGTACAATGGCCCTGACTGGCTTGGCTCAACAGAGTGTCGGCCCACAGACCTAAGAGTTGAGGGTTCGATTCTGATCAAGGGCACATACCTTGGTTGTGGTTCAGTCCCCAGTCCTGGTTAGGAAAGGCAACCAATCTGTGTTTGTCTCTCACACTGATGTTTCTTTTCTCTCTCCCCGTCTGAAGATAAATGGATAAATATCCTCAGGGGAGCATTTAAAAAAATAACAACAACAAAAAAAAACAGTACAACATTCCAAACATGATCCAGCCAATCTTGCAGAATTCTGTATTGTGCTACTTCACCTTTGTTCTGAACCTTTGGCATCTGTGTTACCATGGCCTTCAGTTCTTTTTTAGACAACTATACTACCCACCACAAATTCCCATGACCTCACAAATTTCAAGTGCTTTCTATCTCTTCTGCAATTAGGCCAGTTTTTATCTAGTCTATAACTTTGTAGTGATACTTTACATGATGACAAGAATAATCACTTAAAATTTAGCCTCATCCTTCACTATGTTTTGTTTGTTTTTTTAAATCCTCACCCATTTTTCCATTTATCTTCAGACAGAGTGGGAGGAAGAGAGAGAGACACACATCGACAGGCCAGGGCTTACCTGAGAATATAGTTTCCTTTGATTTTTAGATAGAGTGGAAGGGAGGGAGAGCGAGGGGAAGGAGGGAAGGAGGAGTGGGGGGGGGGCATTAAAACACTGACACGAGAAAGACACATTGGTTGGTTGCCTCCCATTCAATCCCGACTGGGGCTGGGGACCAAACCTCTAATCCAGGTATAGGTACATGCCCTCCCTTGACCAGGAATTGAACCCGAGACCCTACTCTGTGAGGGCTGTTGCTCTAACCACTGAACACACCAGCCAGGGCCAGAAAGCATAGTTTTGGTCAATTATATGAGAACTCCTGTGGTATCTATCTACAGCTGAGACAAGCCTGTCAGAGCAGTCTGATCTTTTAAAACCCTTAGTTGACATTTTGTTTTTAGTCATTCTTGTTAGCTTTCTCTTCCACAAGTGAGCAAATATGCCTGTAACTCATTATCCAAATTCACAATCAGGCCAGAGACAAGGGCAGAAACCTGTCACTCTAGATCTCTCTAGAACAGTTCTGGGAAAAGTTCTGCAGCCAGCAATGAATCCTATTGTTTTATCTACTAGCCTACAAAATGTCCTTGTTTGCAACTGTCTTACTGAAGTCTATATATCTACAGCAATATTGATTAGTCATTAAAAATAACTACTAAGAATAGTAACACTTAGTTTTATTACCTCCAATGCCATTTTTGGCACAAATTATTTTAAGGTTTCTCAGTTTGGCTTCACAAATATTAAAATCACCCAATTCCTATCACAATAAAAAGAATGAAACCCTGCCTGGCCGGTGTAGCTCAGTGGTTGAGCATCGATCCATGCACCAGGAAGTCACCAGTTTGATTACCAGTGGAGGCACATGCCCAGGTTGTGGGCCAAATCCCCAGTAGGGGGCATGCTGGAAGCGGCCAATTGATGTTCTCTTTCATCGATGTTTCTCTCTCTCCCTCTCCCTTCCTCCCTCTCAAAAAATCAATAAAGAAAAAATAATTTTAAGAAAAGATGAATGAAATCCTATCAGAGGCCAAAGGTTGACTATGTTCAGGTCTATATTAGATATTGAATATGAAAGTGCATATACAGCACCCTTCCTGGTATTTAACTAGTATTAGCCCCAAATTCATTTTCTTTCCTCAGAATAATACAATGAAATGTCATCTGCTCTTAAGAGAAGAAAGAGCTTCATGATCTGGGAAAGCAGAGGATGTGGCTATAACTGCACCCCCAGCAACAGAAGAGCAAGCGTATCTGGAAATCTGAAGAGGAAGGGTAAAAAACCACCTTGAAATGTTTGCTGATATAACAGGTACCTGAATCATCATCAAGCGTTTGGAACTCTTAATTACTTTGTAATTATCCAACTATTCAAACAACTCTTAAGCTTAAAATAAAAAACGAAATCATAACAAAAATATCTGCAAAATCTCTTTGGTCCCATAGTAAGGAAACAACACAAATATAAATTATTTCTATGCATTCTCCCATAGAGTATTAATTCAATCAGCAAATATTCATTGAGCATTCACCATAAGTGTAATACGTTCTAGACTCGAGGGGTTTAACAGTGAACTATGTTCTTTTGTGGAACCAACACTAAATTATGTCTGATAATGTAACGTAAGTTATCATTAAATTTTCCAGTGGCCATATCATATTAGTTTTATTACACTTATAGTTCACTAAATTCCCTAATATTTCCTCTCATACACTGCTCAGATGTATACTCAAGCAACTAGGTTATTGGATCCAAATTTATTTATGGCAATATGTCCTTCAGTCTGTCAAGAATTTCTATACTGCCAGTTTCTTTTTTACCTTACACCCTATTTCTTATAGTTTCTTGTTGTCTATAAATCTGATGAACGTACCTCTCTGTGTAATCATCTCAATCAGTCATTTGAGGTCACTAAGAAACTATGGCATATGTTAACTAGCATGTACCCAAGTAGACGTGGATTAATTATTCAGTATTCCATGGCCTCCCTCACTCAACAAGCTATGAGTCACCTGACTGTATTGTCATATCTACCTATCCATAAAAATATTATTGGGTTTAGGTCAAACACCTTCCCAAAGTTCAGATATAGTATGTTCACCAATTTTCCCTAACCATGTTGGGGATAAAAGAGAAATTTTTTTTTTTAAATCCTCATCCGAGGACACTTTTGCATTTATCTTCAGATAGAACAGGAAGGAGGGAGGGGAGTAGAGAGAGAGAAACATCAATGTGAGAGAGACACATCGAGTGGTTGCCACCCACATGACCCCAACCAGGGCGGGGACAAACTGCAACCGAGGCACGTGCCCTTAGTGGAAACCAAACTTGGAACTCTGGTCCGCGGGCCCATGCTCTAACCACTGAGCCAAACTGGCCAGGGCTTACCTTCTCATTTAAAAAAATTCTCTTTTGCCCTGGCCAGTTTGGCTCAGCGGTTAGAGCATCGGCCCGCGGACCAGAGAGTCCCAAGTTCGGTTCCTGCTAAGGGCATGTACCTTGGTTGCAGTTTGTCCCCGGCCCTGGTTGAGGTTGTGTGGGTAGCAACCAGTTGATGTGTCTCTCTCACATCGATGTTGCTCTGTCTTCTCCCTTCTCTCCCTCCCGCTCTATCTAAAGGTAAATGCAAAAAATGTCTCGGGTGAGGATAAAAAAAGAAAATGAGAAGGTAACAATGTAAAAGGATGTACAACTAAGGGGTGAAAAGGTCAATATGTAGCTTCCAATATAAACCAGAAAGCTTTTAAAAAATAAATACTAGGTTGGGAGCATTTAAGATCTTCCCAACATATATCATCAGTTTGGCTCAAATAACTCATAAATTTTTTTTTCTTTAAGTAAATAAATTCTAGGTATATTTTGAAAAACAAAAAACAGTTTATGGGAGGTACCATTATTAAGACAATTTATCTAATTATATGATCTCTTACACACTTACAGCTTTTTTTTTTCCCCATCCTCACTCGAGGACATTTTTTGATATTTGTTCAGATAGAGTGGGAGGGAGAGAGAGAAACATCGACGTGAAAGGGACACATCGAGTGGTTGCCACCCACACGACCCAACCAGGGCCGGGGACAAAGTGCAACTGAGGTACGCGCCCCTAGCGGGAACCGAACCTGGGTCTCTCTGGACCGCAGGCCGACACTCTAACCGCTGAGCCAAACTGGCCAGGGCCACACTTATAACTTACAGCTTTAAAAAAGGGTATATAGCTGAACATACTAAGCAAATTTAATCATTGGAATTGTTTTCAATTGTTAAAGCCAAACAAGCCCTGCGGGTTTGGCTCAGTGGTTTGAGCATCGGCCTGAGGGAAGATCTGGGGTTTGATTTCTGGGCAAGGGCATGTACTTCCTGGCCCCGGTTGGGGGTAGTGCGGGAGGCAACCAATCGATGTCTCTCTCTCCCTCTCTCCTTCACTCCCCCCCTCCCTCCTACTCTATCTGAAGATAAATAGGAAAATATCCTCAAGTGAGGATTAAAATAAAATTTTTTTAAAAAGTAACAATACAAAATTTATTGCAAATACTCTAATTTGCTGCTCTTCACTAAACTCCCAAAGCAAACTGCAATAGTCAATGCTGAGGTAACTGAAGCATAACACTTCACCCTGTTTTGCATTATATATGGAACTTAAAGAGTTATTCAGTGAAGATGTTTTAAACACATTTATAAGAACTGTACTTACATACTATCATGCTATACATCCTATTTGTTATAATTCCTTTGCTCTCAAAATACACAGTTTTGGAATTGGATAATGTTGACCTCCAGAGAAATGTCTTTCCCTCCAGACTGCTTACCTGAATATATTTCCGCTGTGTTTCATCATTTAAAACATGTGCGACATGCTTGGAGAAAATCTTTTCCCTACCCGTTCTGGCATGGATACCAACCATAGTGACACCAATGGGCCAAGGGGCATTTCCGATGGCCATCTGAAGATAAGCATCATTAGCCTAAAAAGAAAGATTAAGGAGAGATCAGAAAAGCAGAAATATTGTATTGGTCCATATTCTTATATCAAGTATTCCACTGCTACTGCTGCAGTCCTCAAATGGGAGAGATAAATGCTGGGAGCCTGACTCGGAACATTTCTCATAGAAACAATCATAAAGGTGGTCAAATTACATCATATCATTAGTACAACAGTTCAGCTATATTATGAATTAAGTAGGTATTTACAGCTACATAACATCGTTTCTATGGGAAATTTGTTCCAAGCTATAACCAATCTATAACCAAATTTTGAAATTCTGTTCCATTCATGAAACATACCTTGCCTATATCCAGTACATGATCTGAAGAATCTTTACACCTACCCTAAAGATGACTAAAAAATAAAGTTTTGCCCCACAGTAAAGTTGACACTACATAAGAAAATAAAAGGTTTTTTTAAACTACGAATTCCTTTTACATTTATTCTTAAATCTCGTATGTAAAATTCTCCCACACCAAATGAACATATTGTGTACATAGCCTAGATGGACAAAAAACTATACTTCCAATGCACAGCATGGTCACATACCTTCACATATTCTCTCTGCAACATGAATTTAATAATATCTGTTATGGATTCTTTAATATCAGCAGGAAGATTCTGGAAAAGAAAAAACACAACTAATTTCAGAAGCTACTGTGTATAGTTACAGACCTCATTTATTCTAATTTTATATATACTATTTTTTTAATCAGTTAATAAAAGCATATTTTGAGAAACTTCACCCTTTTCCGTAGCTTTCTGAAAAGGGGTCTGAGATAAGACTCGGTCTGTTTCTGAGTAGCACTGTTCAGTTTGCCCTGCACACTGCGTTTCACATAATCTTCTCTGGCATTCAGTTCTTTAGCCCAAACACCTAGAAGGAACTGTTGAAAGAATGGGTAAGATTAGACTATAATGCCACCCAGTGGTTAAAGTTTAAAATTCCCTAACACACAAAACAGTATACTATCATCCTTAGAGTAAATTTCCCAACTGATTACAATATCATCCACTAATATTTAATGAATGAACTATACTTACTTATTCTGTCATGTATGTTCTGAATTAGTGCCTTTGGCAATTCACAAACATCTCTATTCTATATATATTACTAGCTCAGATATAATCCATTTACCCTAAAAAGAATTACTAAATTACATGAATAATTATTTGATAGAAATAAAGTTTTAGTTGTATTTCTATTACATAAACTTCACCCCACCTAGATTATCAGCCATAATACCATAGGTGCTGAGATATTTAATGAATCCCCCAAGAATGTTGTTGTAGTATCTGGACTTTCTACTTTTGCAGTAAAGACAATAATTAAATGTAAAAAAATTCCCACTAAAGCCTGGCTGGTGTGGCTCAATGGATTGAGTGACATACCATTAACTGAGAGGTCCTGATCCCGGCAGGGCACATGCCCAGGTTTTGGGCTCCATCCCCAGCAGGGAGTGTGCAAGAGGCAGCCAATCGATATTTCTATCTCCCATTGATGTTTCTCTCCCTTCCTCTCTCTAAAAACATTTTTTTAAAAATTCCTACTAAAATGCCTAACTAAAAGAGAAGGAAAGAAAAAAGGAACAGAAATAAAAGAAACTATTATCCATACCCTCCTCCACCCCACCCTGGAAAACTGCCGCAGTGCTCCTTGGGTTTACCTGTATAAAGAGCAAGCACCCTTCTAGCCCTGGCCGGTTTGGCTCAGCGGTTGGAGCGTCGGCCTGCGGTGCAGAGAGACCCGGGTTCGGTTCCCGCTAAGGGCACGTGCCTCGGTTGCGGTTTGTCCCCGGCCCTGGTTGGTCGTGCAGGTGGCGGCCACTTGATGTGTCCCTTTCACATTGATGTTTCTCTCTCTCTCTCTCCCTCTCTCCCCCTCCCGCTCCATCTGAACAAAGGGTGGAGGAATGTCCTCGGGTGAGGATAAAAAAAAAAAAGAAAAGAGCACCCTTCTATAGAGGCAGATAAACAGTGATGAACATACTGAGAAGAACATACTCCCCTAGTGGCAATCCTATATAAGGAGAGGCTGTCACTCTAAGAGAAAATTCTAGTTCATAACTAGTTCCCATGTCCTATCTAGTTCCATATCATTTCCTGAACAGATTCAGAATCTTGATGACTGATATGTTGTATTTAAACTGTAAATGCAAGTAAAAGCATTTTTATACGTCTTTATTGATTTATAGAGAGGGGAAGGGAGAAATATCGATGAGAGAGAAACATCAATGATAGAGAAACATTGATAGGCTGCCTCCTGCATACCCCCTACTAGGAATCGAACCAGCGACCTCTAGATGCACGGGACAATGCTCAACCAACTGAGCCGCACCAACCAGGGTATAAAAGTATTTCTTGCATTTAAATCTCATAGCCTAAACACAAATAATTTATGAGTAAATGGTGAAATCTGGAATTTGCACACACTCTACCTAAACTAAAATAAGAAATGCTGAGAAGATGGAATGAGCATATCATAGCAAGAATAAGCAGCTATCTGTAGAAATGAGAAAAGGCACAGTCTCCAAGAGGTTTCTGATAGGTTTGGTTTTATCATTGCCAACGTATTCCTACTTCCTTCCTTTCCTTACTTGTCATCACCTCATAAAAGCTTCTAGTACTCTTCCCTCACTGTACTCCTTCCTAGAGTGCTTCAAAAAATGTAGAATTCCTCAAACTTCTTGTTCATTCTACTGCTGTAATTATTTTTCTTCTTCATTTTTAGATTAATAAGTCAGCTTTTTTCTAAAGTGCCAAGAGGAACACAAACATAGTCTTTGATTAACCTCTATATGCAAGTGCAAAGCAGTATCATAAACAGTGTACATGCCAGTAATGTTTTGCTTTCCCTTCCCTGACTTTGACTCTTGACAATCCAAAAGTATAAAAACAGTTGTTAACCAACCAAAAACACCCTTTCTTAGCCTAAAAGTACATACCTTAAGGAATTTGGTGATGATGTCCATGTCTTTATGATCATCACCTTTTCCTAAAGATTCTCCCAGTGCCTGAAAAAAAAGAATGCTCCTGCTCATTAGTAAAGAGCAACAACTGAATATATATGTTATTAACACCACTCTAAACATGGCTCTTTATTACATAGACTGTCAGATTTCTATTTAAAAACCTGATGGAATTTCAAAGTAAAAAAATTTAAAAACACCAATTTGACATTTAAATTTTGAAAGTATGTTATCTTTTATGAATCAAAAGACAGAAGAGACAGGGTAAGTGGAGTGATTGCTAATGAATATGAATTTTCCTTTTCAGGAGAACAAAACTGTTCTAAAATTAGATTGTGATAATTGTACCACCCCATGAATATACTAAAACCCACTGAACTGTACACTTTAAGTTGGTAAATTGTATGATATGCAAATTTTCCAATAAAGCTGTTAAAGGGGGGGACAACTGATGACTCACACCAATTATTCCAATAAAAATTAGATTCCATAGATAGGTGCTTTGTGTGTGGGGTGGGTGCAATTAAAAGGACATCCTCTTCAACTATGATGCCAACATGCACAAGAAGGAATGTAAGGAAAAAGAAAACTAACACTTTACATTTTATTAGGTATTAAGAACTTTACATTAAGCCATATTGTTTGCTCGAGCTAGATATTTGGATAACACAACATTGCTCTTTAATTGAGATTACACATATCACTACACACTCAACACACAAACAAAAATTAGAAAGCAAAATATTGCCCAGGGATTAGGGGTATGAGACATGCCCTGCTGGTGGGATACAGACTAGTGTAGCCCTCTGGTGGGCAACTTGGCAATACTTAAACAAGTTAAATATATATAAACCCTGCAATCCCACTTCTGAGTCCATAGGGTGATGTACAAGATTATTCATCACAAAGCTGTTTGTGGTAACAGTGTGCTGGGAGCAGTCTAGTTGTCCATCATAACAGGGAAAAAGCAGTGAATGCCACAGGGTATAAACTGTTACATAGTAGTTAAAAGCAAAGGTTTAGATGTACATAGACATCAAGGATGGATATTAAAAACACAGTTCAAAGTATAAAAAAAGAAAAGTAAAAAGAACAAAGAAGAATTCTATAGTACAATACCATGACCATCAAAACCACATGCACACGAACTACTACTGGTTTTAGAAGACCTATGAATAAAACAATGCACAAACATACTAGAATTACTTTTTTTTTTTTTATCCTCCTCTGAGGACATTTTTTTGCATTTATCTTCAGATAGAGTGGGAGGGAGAAATGGAGGAAGAGAGAGAGAGAAACATTGATATGAGAGAGACACATCGAGTGGCTGCCACCCACACTACCCCAACAGGGGCCAGGGACAAACTGCAACTGAGGTACGTGCTCTTAGTGGGAACCGAACCTGGGACTATCTGGTCCGAGGGTCGACACTCTAACCGCTGAGCCAAACTGGCCAGGGCAGAATGACTACTTTTGAAGGCAGGAAGCAGGGGAGTGTGAGTAGAGAATGAGAAAAAAGGGACTGAAGGAATAAAAGCATGAAATGAAAGAAGGACCTTTGTAATGACCAAAGACGAGTGTGCTCTGAAATAAGCAATCTGAGGAACTCAAGCATTTGCTGCAGGGATGAGGTAACGTGGTACAGAGATTACCTCTAATTCTTCAATTGTGGTGTTTTCTTCATGAACTTTCAAATCATTCTGTGTGTCTTCCTCTCCAGGTTCTTGACCACCCACAAGTTCATTCAGGTATTGCTGATCAATCTTATCCAAAGCTGCTTTTAGATCATTCCTCAATCCCTAAGAAAGGTGAAAAATTAGACCAGGTATGAAATTTCACTAATGTTTCACTCGACTTTTCACTAGTAAATATAATTCATCTTAGACTACCAGCCAAGATGGTGGCATAGGTACACACTACACTTGCCTCCTCCCATGACCACATCAAAATTACAACTTAAATGGTAGAACAACCATCATTGAGAACCACCTGAAGACTGCTCTAAACTGGAAATATTCAAAAATGTCAACAGTATAAACTAATGTATATTAGTTTAACATTATACAGTATAAAACTAATGTCTCCGCTATATCTCAGGCTATCACTATATTTCTAACACAAGCAAATTCCATATTCTATTCACATCCAGTTTGTGACTGTTTAAGAAAAATGAAAGCCTTAAGCTGGACCCTTAAGGACCAAAGATCTAAATGTAAGAGCTAAAAGTATAAATTCAGAATAAAACATAAGGGGAAAGCTTCATGACATTGGATTTGGGAATGATTTCTTATATACAACACCACAAGCACAGGCAACAACTACAGCAAAAACAGGTAAGTTGAACATCAAAATTAAAAATGTTTATGCATCAAAGATACTATCAATAGAGTGAAAAGATAACCCATTGAAAGGAAGAAAATATCTGCAAATTATATATCTGATAAGGACTGATATCCAAAATACACAGAAATTTCTGTAACTTAACAAAAAACAATGGATATGATTAAAAATGGGCAAAGGACTTGAATAGAAGACGACATGCAAATGGCCAATATGCAAATGAAAAGATTCAATATCACAAGAAGACATGAAATCAAAACGAAAATGAAATACCACTTTACATGCCTTAGGAAGACTGTTTTTTTGTTTGTTTTTTATTATTATTATTTTAAGCCTCACTGGAGGCTTCCCATTTATCTTTAGATAGAGTGGGAGGGAGAGAGAGGAAAAGAGAAAGATAGAAACATCAGTGTAAGAGAGACACATCAATTGGTTGCTTCCCGCATGACCCCAACCAGACCCAGGACTGAACAGCAACCAAAGTACATGCCTGTGACCGGAATCAAACCTGCAACTCTTTGGTCCACAGGCCAATGCTCTAACTGCTGAGCCAGACTGACTAGGCAGGACAATTATTATTTAAAACAAACCCACAATAACAAGTAGTGACTAGGATGTAAAGAAATGGAACACTGTGCACTGCTGGAAATGTAAAATGGGGGAGCTGCTGTGGAAAACTGGGCAATACCTCAGAAAGTAAAACATACCCACATTCAGACACATTATAATTAAAATGTCAAAAGATAGCCCTGGCCGGTTTGGCTCAGCGGTTAGAGCGTTGGCCTGCGGTCCGGAGAGACCCGGGTTTGGTTCCCGCTAAGGGCACGTACCTCGGTTGCAGTTTGTCCCCGGCCCTGGTTGGTTGTGCGGGTGGCGACCACTCGATGTGTCCCTTTCACATCGATGTTTCTCTCTCTCTCTCTCTTCCTCTCTCTCCCTCTCTCTCCCTCCCACTCTACCTGAACAAAAAATGGAAAAATGTCCTCGGGCGAGGATGATAAAAAAAAAAAAATGTCAAAAGATAAAGACAATGAGAGATTCTTACAAGGAGCAAAAGAAAAACAACTTATTATATAAAATGAAACACACATAAGAGACATCAGATTTTCAGCAGGAATTTTGCAAGCCAGAAGGGAGTAGCACAATTTATTCAAAGTACTGAAAGAAAAAATTTCCAACAAAGAATATGCTTTACCAGGCAAAATTATAATTTAGAATTGAAGGAAAGATAAGTGTTCCAAGCAAGCAAAAGCTAAAAGAGTTCATCACCACTAAACTGGCCTTATAAGAAATGTTTAAGTGCCCTGGCCAGTTTGGCTCAGCGGTAAGAGTGTCAGCCTGTGGTCCAGAGAGAACCAGGTTCAGTTCCCACTAAGGACACGTACCTCGGTTGCAGTTTGTCCCCAGCCCTGGTTGGTCGTGCGGGTGGCAGCCACTCGATGTGTCCCTTTCACATCGATGTTTCTCTTTCTTTCTCTCTCTCTCTCTCTCTCTCTCCCTCCCTCCCACCCCCTTCTTTCCCTCCCTCCCTCCCTCCCACTCTATCTGAACAAAAAATGGAAAAATGTCCTAGGGTGAGGATAAAAAAAAGAAAAGAAAAATGCTACAGTGATTTTTTAAACCAGAAAGAGTGCTAATTAATAATAATAAAACAATATGAAAGTATAAATCTCACTGGTAAAGGTACATACAGAGTAAAGGTAGTGAATTAATCATGTATAAAGCCAGTATTAAGGTTAAGACAAAAGTAGTAAAAATGATCATAACTACAATAATTAATTAAGGGATACACAGGATAAAAAAGATGTAAAATGTGACATCAAAAACATAAAATGTGGGCTGGATAAAGTAAAAATGTAGAACTTTAGAATGCATTCAAACTTAAGATGTTATCAACTTAAAATAGATTGTCCCAGCCCTGGCCAGGTGACTCAGTTGGATGGAGCATTGTCCTGTATACCAAAAAGGTTTCGGGTTTGATTTCTGGTTGGGGTGTGTATGGGAGGCAACCAATGAATGTTTCTCACATTGATATTTCTCTCTTCTTCTCTAAAATCAATAAACATGTCCTTGGGAGAGGATAAAAATAAAAGACTGGCCCTGGCTGGTTTGCCTCAGCGGTTAGAGCATTGGCCCGCGGATCAGAGATACCCAGGTTCGGTTCCCACTAAGAGTATGCACCTTGGTTGCAGTTTGCTCCTGGCCCCAGCTGGGGTCGTGTGGGTGGTGGCCATTTGATGTGTCTCTCTCACATCGATGTTTCTCTCTCTCTTCCTATCTCCCTCCTGCTCTATCTGAAGATAAATGCAAAAATGTCCTCGGGTGAGGATAAAAAAATAAAAGACTGTTCCAGCTATAAAACAAATAAGTCACGAGGATGTAATGTTCAGCATAGTTACTATTGTTAATAATACTATATTGCATATTTGAAAGTTGCTAAGAGAGTAACTCACATCACAAGAATATGATGGTGGATGTTAGCTAGACTTTTTTTTTTTCCAAATAGAGTGGGAGGGAGAGAGAGAGAGAGAAACATCGAAGTGAAAGGGACACATCAAGCGGTTGCCACCCTCATGACCCAACCAGGGCCGGGGACAAACTGCAACCGAGGCACGTGCCCCTAGCGGGAACTGAACCCAGGTCTCTCTGGACCACAGGCTGATGCTCTAACCGCTGAGCCAAACCGGTCAGGGCTAGCTAGACTTTTTGTGGTGATCATTTTGCAATATACACAAATATCAAAATCATTATGTCACACGCCTGAAACTAATATAATGTTATATTGTCAGTTATACCAGAATTTTAAAAAATGGCCCTGGCTGATATGGCTCAGTGGCTAGAGTGTTGGCCTGCAAGTTTGATTCCCAGGCAAGGGCACATACCTGGTTTGCAGGTTCGTTCCCCACCTCCAATGAGGGAATGTTGTAGAAAGCAGCTAATTGATGGGTCTCTCTCACATCAATGTTTCTCTCTCCCCCTCCCTCCCTTTCAGTCTCTCTTAAGAAAAAAAATCAATGGAAAAAATATCCTCAGGGGAGGATTAACAAAAAGTACAAATAAGAAATTCTGTATTATTTGGCACAGGCTTGAACAAAATTATAATACAGCAGGTTGATATAAATTAATATTAAAAGTAGAAGTTTTTATTGCATTTTTTTGTTTTTTTTAGAAAGAGGGAGAGAGATAGAAACATCGATCAGCTGCCGCCTGCACGCCCCCTACTGGGGATTGAGCCCACAATCTGGGCATATGCCCTAACTGGGAAACAAACCAGTGACTTCTTGGTGCATGAGTTGACGCTCAACCACTGAGCCACAATGGCAGGGCTAGAAGGTTTTTAAAGTAATAAAACATGAGTGGTAAAAAAAATTAAATAATATAAAAACTTACTATTTCACAGCAGTATTTTATGCAATCTTTTAATAAGGAAAATGATTCAGAATACAGAAGAGGAATAAATGTTGGTGAAAAGAAGCATTTATAAAAACCACTAACTCTTTCCAAGAATTTAGGTTAAGAAAGTGTTAGGATTAAAAATAAAAACAGCCCTGGCCGGTTTGGCTCAGCGGTTAGAGCGTCGGCCTGCGGTCCGGAGAGACCCGGGTTCGGTTCCCGCTAAGGGCACGTACCTTGGTTGCAGTTTGTCCCCGGCCCTGGTTGGGTCGTGTGGGTGGCAACCACTCGATGTGTCGCTTTCACGTCGATGTTTCTCTCTCTCTCTCCCACTCACTCTATCTGAACAAAATATCGAAAAATGTCCTCGGGTGAGGATAAAAAAATAAATAAAAAATAAAATAAAATAAAATAAAATAAAAACAAATTACTGTTAACGTTAATAATATAAATGATGAAATTTTTTAAAAAATCATTTATACTTTGGGGAAAAAAGTTAAACATAAAATCACCAAATGATCCAGCAGTTCTACTTCTGGGTATAGAATTGGAGAGACTAAAACAGGTATCTGTACACCCATGTTCATAGCAGCTTTATTCACAATAGCCAAAAGATAGAAACACCCCAAATATCTATCAAGGATGAATGGATAAACAAAGTGGTGCTCATACACACAATGGAGTATATTTCAGCCTTTAAAAAAACTGAAATTCTGACACATGCTACAACATGGATGAACCTTCAAAGTTTTATGCTAAGTTATAAGACTGGTCCAGTGGAATATTCAGATAACCCTAGCCACTCACCACGTGACTACAATCACATGGAAGATCTCGAGCCAAAAACTGCCCAGCATAACTCAATCAAATCACAGAACTTTGGGAATAATAAATTATCTTAAGGTACTGAGTTTCAGAATGGTTTGTTACAGTCAGCAATGACCAAAAAAGATTTTATAATTTTTTTTCCCTCACCCGAGGACATTTTTGCATTTATCTTCAGATAGAGTGGGAGGAAGAGAGAAAAAGAAACATCAATGTGAGAGAGACACATCGAGTGGTAGTGAGAGAGACACATCGAGTGGTTGCCACCCACATGACCCCATCTGGGGCTGGGGACAAACTGCAACCCAGGTACGTGCCCTTAGTGGGAAACCAAACCTGGGACTCTCTGGTCCACAGGCCGATGCTCTAATCGCTAAGCCAAACTGGCCAGGGCAATTTTATAATAATTTTTTAAAATTAAACTTTCTTTATTTTATTTATTTATTTTTGCATGTATCTTCAGATAGAGTGAGAGGGAGGGAGGGAGGAAGAGAGAGAAACAGCAATGTGAGAGAGACATATCAAGTCGTTGCCGCCCACACGACCCCAACTGGGGCTGGGGACAAACTGTAACCGAGGTATGCACCCTTAGTGGGAACCGAACCCGCTGGCCGATGCTCTAACAGCTGAGACAAACTGGCCAGGGCTATGATAAATTTTTTAAGCTACTAAATTTTGGGTGGTTTGTTACATAGCCATAGATAACCACACCTGTTTCTAAGTAACTGCTAGTGCAAGTAGATAAGTTAATGAGTCCTCAGAATCTGTGAACAGCACTACTGTAATTAACAATTATCCAAAGCATAAAACATACTCTTTTCAAGAGCCCATGAATATTCACCAAAACAAACCATAAACTGAGCCATAAAACAATATTAGAGTTCTAAATTAAAAGCTAAAACTGTTATGCTTTTTTACAAGAAAATACAGAAGAATATACCTTTGAGACCATGGGACAGGCAAAGGTTTCTTAAGCAAAACATCAAAAGCAATAACCATAAAACCAAAAGCTGATCAAGTAGACTTCATCAAAATTTAAAACTCTCCCTCAAAAGACACCATAAGAGAACAGGTAAGCCATCAACTAGGAGAAAATAGTCACAAAATACATATCTGTATCTCACAAAGGACTTATCAAGATTATATGAAGAACTCATACAATTCAAAAATAAAAAGACAGAGAACCCAATTAAAACATGAACAAAAGACTTTAACACACACTAAGCAGAGAAAGATACAGTCAGTAAGTCCATGAAAAGATGCTCATAATCTTTGGCTACCAGAGAAATGTAAAAACCACCACAATGAGATACTATTACGCATACGAGAAAATGGTTAAAATTTTAAAAACTAACTAAAAATGCTGATGGCATTTGGAAATATTTGTCATTCCTTAAGAAGTTAAGCATACATTTACTCTTACTGTTCAGCAATTCCACTTCTAGGTATTTACCCAAGAGAAAGAAAATAGGCTCAAAAAAGATTTATGTAAGAATGTTCAGCCTTGCCCTGGCCGGTTTGGCTCAGTGGTTAGAGCGTCGGCCTGCGGTCCTGAGAGACCCGGGTTCGGTTCCCGCTAAGGGCACGTACTTCGGTTGCAGTTTGTCCCCGGCCCTGGTTGGTCGTATGGGTGGCAGCCACTCGATGTGTCCCTTTCACATCGATGTTTCTGTCTCTATTCTCTCTTCCTCTCTCTCCCTCCCACTCTATCTGTACAAAAAATGGAAAAAAAAAAAGAATGTTCAGCCTGGCTGGTGTGGCTCAGTCGCTGAGCGTCAACCCATGCACCGAGAGGTCGCCATTTCAATTCCTGGGCGCACATGCCCAGGTTGTGGGCCAAATCCCCAGTCGGGGACATGCAGGAGGTGACCAACCTATGTTCCGTCTCATCAATGTTTCTGTCTTTCTCTCCCTCTCCCCTCTTCTCTCTCTAAAATCAATATAAAGAAAAAAACAAAAAATTCAAAAAAATGTTCAGAGAAATTTTATTCAGAATAGCCCAAAGTTGAAAAACGTATTGTGGTATATTCATATGACTGAATACCATCAGCAATGAAAAGGGAACAAACTATTAATATCCACAATAACACTGATGAATCTAAAAAATACGCTGCTCAAAAGAATCCAGACATTATGACTTCATCTATAAGAAACAGAACAAATGAAATTACTCTATGACGTTAGAATTTAAAATGATGGTTGCTCAGGAGTGGAGAAGGAAGGATATGGGATTGGCCAAGAAGGGGTGCTGGAGAACTTCCTTAGATGATGAAAATGTTCTATACCTTCACAAGGTTGGTGGTTACAAATGTATATGTATTTGTCAAAATGCACTGAACTGTATGATTAAGATATGTGCTTTTTAAAAATTTTTTAAAAACTTACATTCACCAGCAACTTTTTCCATTTTTTCCTATAATAATTCAATTGGTCAAACTCCATCAAACTCCACACTATTCTAGTTTATGTGGAACAGTGATATTTTAGCTTTGTTTTGACTTCTTACCTTGTTAACTTCTGGTGTGAGGATCTCTATTTTTCTTAAACGCTGAAAAGCATCATAATCAGTTTCTCCAAATAGTCTGATTGGTTCTCCTCTTTCTCTCAATCTCCTAATAACCTATTAAAAATAAAAATAAGATAGTAGTTCCTTATGTTATTAGTGATTGTAATTCCTATATTAGGTGACCTAACACTTACTTTGAAATGTCAATGCAAAAAGCTGTGTTTGAATTTTAATTTTCCATGAACAAATATATTGAGTTATTGTCACACCTTAAATAATCCTAACAGTTTAGGTCAGTTGGCTAACTGTTTCAGGAAAGGACCAATCAGAGTAGTAGTATACATAAGAAAAATATTAAGATGGGAACAAGTGATAATATTCATATGGGGAAGGAAAAGTTTGGAGTCAGCTGATACTCAACGACCACAGCCAAGGTCAGCGTTGCAAGACTACATTTAAACAAAACACTTGTCCCTCAAAAGAGAAAGTGAGTATGATCAGGATGGGTCACATGCAGGGCTTTTGAGGGGTTGATAATACTGCTTTATTTCTTGATTTGGGTGATAGTTATACAGGTGTTTTATAATTATACAGTATATCAAACCTATGTGTTTTATACACTATATACATGCTATAGTTCATAAAAAGGAGAAATAAAAAGTATATTTAATTAATAAAGGTTAATCCAAATTAAAAGTAATACCAAGAACTTTACAACACACTTAGAAACCACTGGTAGGGCTCCCAATGGATTAACTGAAGCTTGGTATTAAAAAGACACATTTGTCAGGTCTCTTGTCGGACAAATGACAGGAATCACATCTCTTCATGAAACAGCCCATCCCATTTATGGATACATTTTGCTTCTCAAACTAAAATCCACCTCCCTTAAACATCTACCCATTTATCTTAGTTCTACTTTATGCAACCGCAGGCAGTACTCAATTACTTTTCAAAATTAGAGCTGCGGTCAACAAATTCTCTTTAAAAAAAATTATATATATTTATATCTATAGATATACAGATATAGATATATATCTTTTTTAGAGAGGGAGAATGAGAGAAACATCAATGTGAGAGAGATGATGCCTCTCAAACACACCCCAATCGGGGATCAAACCCAAAACTTGGGCATGTGCCCTGACCAGGAATCAAACCCAGTGCTCTTTTGGTGGACAGGACAACGCTTAACCAACTGAGACACACTAGCTAGGGCAATAAATTCTTTTAAAAGTCTCTAATATTCCTTTCTCCAGGCTAAGTATTCAAAATTCTTTCCTCTAATTTTCAAATGACAGCTTCCAGAGTCAGCCATCCTTTGCTCTGAAAGTTTCCTTTTGTTCCAAGTTCATTTTTGTTTTGTACCTTCTAAATAGTTTGAATTCTTTATATCACATAAATATCTTTTTAAAAATTTTTTTAAAGAAAATAATAGTTGATATCAAGCAGGATATGGACAAACACAACAGGTGAGAGTTTAAACTGATGTAACTGGCACAGAGCCCTCTGGTGATGTGTATCAAAAGTCTTTGAAATGTGCCCGGCCAGTGTGGCTCAGTGATTGAACGTCAACCCATGCACCAAGAGGTCACCGGTTTGATTCCCGGTCAGGGCACATGCCCAGGTTGTGGGCCTGATCCCCAGTGCAGGGCATGCAGGAGGCAGCCAATCGATGTTCTCTCTCATCTATGTTTCTATCTCTCTCTCCCTCTCTCCTTCTCCCTTCCTCTCTCTCTAAAGTCAATAAAGAAAAAAATATTTAAAAAAAAGAAAAAATGTCTTTGAAATGTACATAGACTTTAATCTTTAGTACATACACTCCAGATATCACACTTCTAGAAATTTTTCCAAAGGAAATAATCATACATTATTATGCATGCAATCATGTCTTTAGAAAGATGTTCCTCTTAGTATGATTTATACTGAAATAATCTAAATGACAATTAATAAAAAATTGGTTTTAAAAATATTATAGAAGCCCTGGCTGGTTTGGCTCAGCAGTTAGAGCACTGGCCCGTGGACCAAAGAAGGGTCTCAGTTTGATTCCCGGTCAGGTTTAATTCATGGTCCTGTTTGGGATTGTGCAGGATGCAACCAACTGATGTGTGTGTGTGTGTGTGTGTCTCTCTCTCTCTCTCTGTCTCTCTTCCACTCTATCTAAAAATCAATGGAAAAATATCCTCAGGTGAGGATTAACAACAACAAATATGATGGGAAAATATACAGAAACATAAAAAAGTATATAAATCTCGCCCTGGCCGGTTTGGCTCAGCAGTTAGAGCATCGGCCTGCGGACCATCAAGTCCCGGGTTCAGTTTTGCTCAGGGCACATACCTTGAATGCAGTTTGTCCCCGGCCACCTGGTTGGGGTTGTGTGGGTGAGGGATGTTTCTCTCTCTCTCTTCCCCCCTTTCTCCTTCCCACTCTATCTGAAGATAAATGCAAAAAAAAAGTATATAAATCTCTATATTTTGACCTAGAAGGGTGTATTAAGAGAAAGTTATAAAATAGTACATTATTTAAAATAATTTAAGTATAATTATTTAGAATATATACATTTAAAGCAATGTGTTTATTAGTTTTTAAAGTTTAGAATGACAAATACTTAAAAAGTTTAACATAATATCAAGAAAAGCAGAGATAATTTAGAACTTCATGAAGAAAACTGGCTAGCTGCATAGTAATTGCGTTCAGTAAGTTATCTTATACAGGAAATAATGACATAAAAGTATTGAACAGAACTACAGATAAATATAAATGCTGTGCAAAGTTTTTGTTTGTTTGTTTTTCTGCTGTTGTTTTTTTTATCCTTACCTGAGGACATTTTTCCATTTTTTGTTCAGATAGAGTGGGGAGGGAGGGAGAGGAAGAGAGAGAGACAAACATCTACATGAAAGGGATACATCGAGTGGCTGCCACCCACACGACCAACCAGGGCCGGGGACAAACTGCAACCGAGGTACGTGCCCTCAGCGGGAACCAAACCCGGGTCTCTCTGGACCGCAGGCTGACGCTCTAATCGCTGAGCCAAACTGGCCAGGGCTGTTTGTTTTTTTAATGAAACACTCTCTAAATAAACTTACCTCTTGCCTAGAAAGAGTCATGGGTAATTTTTCCTCTGCCAGTTCAAGTTCTAATACTGGATTTGATGAAGTTAATGGTTTCTGGTCCTCTTCTTTTGGCTGTATCTATATTAATAGCAAAAAAGAAAAGAAAGAAATTCAGCTTTTGAAATATAGGTAATACTTATTCTATTAGTTTAGCTGCTCACAAAAGTTAAACATGTTTTAAATATTGAAGGCCTTCTAAACGTTCCTCCAAGGAAAGAGCTGATAATAAATGTCTAGCTTTTAAGAACTAATCAAACTTGTCCATTTCAGGGACAGCACAAAGAGAAAACATGCACGTCGGAAACAGCATTCTTGCTACAGAAGAGTGACATTAAATGTAATGGTTTCCAAAAGCAAAACATTAAAAGAGGTAAACTTAGACTCACTTTCTTCCTCAACTCAAAATAATTTTACATTTTCTCAAAAAGCAATCAACCTGCTTCTCTTTGAGAAAATCATCTTACAGAGTTGTCTGATCCTTGCCGTGGATTTAAAATGAAAGCCAAAGGAAAGAAATGCTTTCTAACAGAAACCTGTAAAGCCTCAAAATCCAGCTTTTTGCTACCCTACTTTTTGAAAGGTATTATTCCAAGTGTACAGAAATCACTGTTGGACATATAAAAAAATGTCCAGTGCTATACAGAACTTGTCCACAAAACTGAGCTACAAACCTTGTGAGAAAATAGTGTAAAACAAAACCTCTCTACTCATACCACACAAAGAGTGGACATTCTTGTTCATATAAACCTGGGGAAAAAATCTCTTCATATATTTTCTTGAGTCTGCCGCCCAAGTCACAGTTTGGGAAAATTGAGTTCAGCAATTTATGAGCCCACTGTGTCGTCTGTAAAAAGATAATGAAACGTGGTTTCCCAACTGACTATAAGACAAATCTAAAATGTCAAAAGAAGTAAGATAAAGAAAACATAAAGGAAGATCAACATTAAGGAAAAACTCATATGCAACTAAGAAAAGTTATATGGTTAAAATTATATAACTTATTCTATAAAGTTTATGGTTAACAGGTTTATCTGTATTACTAGTGTAATAGAAAATTGCGATAAAGAAATAAGCGTTCACCCTGGCTGGTGTGGCTCAGTTGGGTGTCGTCCTGGGCACCATGAGGTTGCCGATTCCTGGTCAGGGCACATGCCTGGGGTTGTGGCCTAGATCCTTGGTAGGGGGCATGCAGGAGACAGCCAATCAATGTTCCTCTCTCTTTAGAAAAATCTGAAAGAAAGAAAAAGAGAGAGAGAGAGAAGAAAGGAGAGAGGGAGGGAGGGAGGAAGGGAGGGAGGAAGGGAGGGAGGGAGGGAGGGAGGGAGAGAGAGAGAGAGAGAGAGAAAGAGAGAGAAAGAGAGAGAAAGAGAGAGAAGAGAGAAGAAAGAGAGAAAGAAAGAGAGAAAGAAGAGAGAAAGAAAGAGAGAAAGAAAGAGAGAAAGAAAGAGAAGAAAAGAGAGAAAGAAAGAGAGAGAGAGAGAAAGAAAGAAAGAAAGAAAGAAAGAAAGAAAGAAAGAAAGAAAGAAAGAAAGAAAGAAAGACCCTAAGCTTTCACCCTGTTTGGTGTGGCTCAGTTGGTTGGAATGTCACCCCAGACACCAAAAGGTGGCGGATTTGATTCCCATTCAGGGCACATACCAGATGGGTTGGATCCCTACTCAGGCTTTGTGCAGGAGGCAGCCCAGCAGATCGATGCTTCTCTCTCTCTCAAATCAATAAAAATAATAAAAAAACAAAAAACTAAACTTTTGTATTTTCACAAACCAAATCAGCATCAAGCCTTAAAAAATGGTAACAAGTATCTATAAAGGAATAAAGTAATACATGTTGGATTTTCATTACTACCAAGAAAGAAATAATAAAAATGTTTTCGAAAGAACAATCTGTGCTTTTTTTTTTCATCATAAAAACAGGTTATTTCTCCAAAAGTCTTAGGATGAAAAGTAGTTTTAATTATGGAATGGCAGCTGGACTCAATGTTACAAGCAAACCTTTACAGTAATTATTTTGCTTCAGTGCCTTCCTCTATATAAGCAAGTACTGCCATATCACCAAAGCAACCTAAGCAAAGCAAAACTACTGCCATTGTTTTTAAGTTATTTTCCTACCTTATCCAAAAGCTGAAAAGTTCAAATTTAGGGATCTGGGAAAGCAACAAGTCAGCAGACTAAACCCAGGGTAAGTAATTCTTATTTCAAATGAAGTTGGAGTTAGACGATGTTAGGGCAAGTGAAAGATGAGAATTCTTTCTGAATATTTGATGGTTATTTACACAAAACATTTTAATTTCCTAAATTAGAAGCAAATGAAATCACTATATTCATGGAAAATATAAAAATACCAATATAAACTTTCATATTTTAGAAACCTATCAGAAATATAAAACTTGCCCTCTCCCAACAGTACAAAATAAAGCCAAATGCATATACATACCATTTGTATTATTCATGCTTCCCTCTAGAAATGCTATGCCAGATAAATTAATTTCCAGAACTTTCAACATGACATGCACAAGAGTACTATTTGATATTGATATTTCACAAGCAAAATGTTGATTTTAAATTTATGATTTAGCAAAAGTAAGAGAGCCTTCTAAAATTTAGTTTAAAAATTATTAAACTAGTTTTAAAAAAATAATTTAAACATAACTTAACCTCATAACCTTTAACCCCTCCCAATAAAAAACCCAATACGTTATTCAACTAGGTAATGTCAAAGATAATTTCAGTCATGCTTCTAAAATATACAAGTCTTCCAGACAACTCATTTGTTTCTAATAAATATTTCAGTATTACATTTTCTATCCAATAGACTGAGCAATGTTTGCAATGTGGTTTCTTATTACACAAAAGCATATAAATGTTATATGGCACTATACTTCAAGCAGAGGTACTTAGGGCCAAAAGGAATTAATAATGTAAACATAAAAACAATGGCTTAAAATATTCGGGAGAAAGCAGGGAAAATACCACTCCTAATACCATTGTTTTTGAATGAATAAAATGTTTTAGCCCTTTAAAAACTGACTTTATTGGGAGAGGTGGGGAGAGGAGTGGTGGTGGAGATGAAAATGAGGCAGCATCAGATCCAGGACTTAACAAAAACAAGAAAAACAAGCTTTGATCTCAAGCCAGTTCATGCTGTCCACAGAAGGCCAAACCATTCCAAGCCAAAAGTCATGCATGTATTTTCCTGAATTTAATATAAAAAAAAGAAAAAAATGAAAACAAAAATTCATACCTCTCCAGATGGCTTCTCATTTACAGGCTAATGTATAACATTGATAAATTGAACAGAGATCAATAATTTTGTCACTTTAATAACAGCTGTATAAATTTAAACTCAGAAATAGACAATTTAACATAAAAACAGGAATTCATACCTTATAGCCACATCTTTCATAATATGCTTCCTCTTCTTTTTTTGAAAGTTCACTGCGCTTGAAATATTTTTTATTTTCCTATTGAAGAGAGAAATGGTTAATAATATATCCTTGCATAGAATTTCGCATCCCCTAGTCAACAGCCTGAAAATACTCTTCAATTTTTAAAGAAATTGATAAAGTTTTTTTGGTTCCAAAGAAAGTATACTGATTTCCTGAACACGCCACCTGTCCTCAACCCCTAGTCTAAATTTGAAGTACATATTTTTCTTGCAGTATCATTTTAACAGGCATATCCAACAGCAAAGAGAAAAAACCAACAATATTTTCCAAGTGTTCACACTGTTTTGATTTAGTATCTCAATATCTGGGTAAAATGATAAGCTCTACAAATGGATTTATTATAAACCACAAGAGTGCATCAAAATTATTTTCATCATCTAAAATCTTACTGTATCAATTAATTGCATTTTATTCTTAAAATTGTGTTAACTCTTAAAAAGACAGTGTAAAGGCATTTGTTTTAATATGACTTGATGTTAAGAGACAAGTTCTTAAATCTACTGTGATGGGGAAAAACGTTAGTTCTTTCTATTCTATATATAATTTGGAGGCTTCTTACTATCTGCAGCTCTTATTCCACTGATGACTTGGCTCAAATAAAGATACTTCCTTGCCCTGGCCCGTGTAGCTCAGTTGGTTGAGCACTGTCCTGTGCACCCAAAGGTGGTGGGTTCAATTCCCAGTCAGGGCACATGCCCAGATTCTGGGTTTGATCCCAAGTATTTGCATGCAGGAGGCAGCCAATTGATGGTTCTCTCCTCCCCCGCTTCCTCCCTCTCTAAAATCAGTAAAAACATTTTTTTAAAAAAGGATGCTGCCCTACTTTATTAGTAGTAAGTATACTAGTACCTTAATACCACCTCCACTCAAGTATTTAGCACCTCATAGTCCAAAGCTCATTCACTCAGGCAATGACTATCGATGGATATTAAGACCATGACAGGAAAGGCTGTTGGTGAACAATGGAAAGACCAGGCTGCCAACCCTTGAGCCCACTGATAAGTTTGGCATCAAGAAAACATTAAGCACTTCCCTATGTGATGCACATAGGAAGTATGTAGCACCATCAATACAGCATTCTTGCCAAAAAAGATAAATATGAATCTAATCAAATATTTAGATCTAACTTCCAGTTTACCATAATGCAGGGAATAAAAGAATAAGCGAAATAACACCACAGGGAAACAATCAAACACTGGAAAGTTTTACAAACTAACCCCAGTTTCCCCCAAAAGTTAATGGCATCAAAAAGGGGTAGAGCTGGGGAGAATGAAAATGTTCTTAGTTAAAAGAAACCAAGAGTCATAATAAATGCAGTGACTACAGTTCATGTGGATCTGATTTAAACAAACCAACTGTAAAAACATTTATTTTAATTCAGTTGGAGGTATCTGAATGTGAAAGGAGTAGCTGATGATACTAAGGACCTAATTTCATTTTTTTTTTTTTTTTTTATGAATTTTTATTTATTTTTTTGTTACAGATATTTTACCTTTTTACCCCATTGGCACCCCCCACCCCCCACCCCCTCCACCCTGTCCCCGGCTTAGTTGTCCATGTCCATTGGTCATGCATACATGCATATAAGTTCTGTGGTTTATCACTTCCCACCCCCCCACCCCCCATCCCCTCTTCTGAGGGGTGTCAGTCTGTGCCCTACTTCCATGTGTCTGGGTCTACTGTATTCCTCAGACTGTTATGTTCATTATATTCCGCATATAAGTGAGATCATGTGGTATTTGTAAGGACCTAATTTTAATTTTGTTGGTTGTCATTTTGTTTATATAAAAATATGTTTTAAGTGATGTTAGAGAGAGGAAGAGAGAGAGGGAAAAACATCAAGGATCATCGATAGGATGCCTTCTGCACGCGCTCTGCCTGGGGATCAAACCTGCAACCTGGGCACATGCCCTGACCTGGAATCAAACCCACCACTCTTTGGTGCATGGAAAGACACTCCAACCAACCAAGCCACGCTGACCAGAGCTATATAAAAACATATTCTCATTTTCTAGTTACAAATCTTTAGGGGAAGGGGTAGACGGGAGCTCATTATACAATTATGTTTTTCTGTATGTTTAAAACTTTCATTAAATGAAATTTTTTATTTGTTTTTAATCCTCACCCGAGGACATTTTTCCATTTTTTGTTCAGATAGAATGGAAAGGAGGGAGAGAGAGAGAAACATTGATGTGAAAGGGACACATCGAGTGGTTGCCACCGCATGACCCAACCAAGGCCGGGGACAAACTGCAACTGAGGTACGTGCCCTTAGCAGGAACCGAACCCGAGTCTCTCTGGACCGCAGGCTGACACTCTTACCACGGAGCCAAACCGGCCAGGGCAAGTGAAATTTTTTAAAAGTTTATTCATTAACTTAATAAACATCTACCACACACCAAGCACAGCTTTACAGATTAACAATGAAGAAGATATTACCTGGGGTAAGAAACTGATGGTATCATCTGGATATCAAAACTACCCTGAGAAAGATGGGAGCAAATAATATTAATCCCATAGTACATTAGAAAGGTTAGGTGACATTCCCAGAATTAGTAAGCCTCATAAGCAACACAGACAGGACTAGAACTCTGGTTAAGTCCTTTGTACTACTGTCCAGGATTCCATGCTAGAGTTCTTTACAACCAAAATGTTATTTCAGCATCATAAATTGTTCCTTTTGAGTATGTAGCAGGTAATTGCCGAATTTCAGGTGAGTTGGCAAACACATATGGCATCCTCTCAGAAAAAGGGACTATAGAGGAAGAAAGTAAAAGGGCTCTCCAAGCCAGAGTCCATGGTCTAATCTATAACTATGATATCTTTTACTCCATGTCTCAATTTCATTGCACATACCTAACAATATCTTAAGCACAGAACATCAATCCACAAAATGTGGTTCACAGTCTTCTGGAGGTCCTTTACATCTTTTCAGAGGTTCTGGAAAGTCAAATTTACTTTTATAACAATACTAAGATGTTATTGCCACCTTTTTCACTGTGCACACACTTGCACTAATGGTACTAAAGCAATGAGGAAAACTACCGAAATCTGAGCATAAATAAGGCTGACTACCTTATTTATGTAGCAGTGGGCACTGTACACACCACCATGGACTTGCAGGAAAATAAAGAAGCCAGTTTCTCTTATGTCTTGATAAAGTACATGATGAAACAAAAAATGAAACAAGGCACTTCTGCTATACAGTAAACTGAGATCAGTTTCTCAAAGAAAATCATTTGTGCAACTGATTATTCAGACTTGCAGATTACACAGACATTACTTAAAACTGAACAAAGCAAGCCTGTTACTTCAAGGAAAACAATGACAGCACTTATCACCTATGATAAAATTCCATCTTTCAAGTGAAAATTAGAATGGTAGGAAACATGTATCCATTACTGTGAACTTCATGGTTTCCCAATACGTAAAGGCTTTTCTGATGAACTAAAAATAATATCAGTGAATGTGATTTTCTCTATGTAATCTAATGAAATATATCAACATTTAGAAGATCCGCTTATCTCAGCAAACCATAATGTTATAAAGGCAAGATGTTACAAAATCATGCATAGGCAGAAGATCTATGAGCAGAATAGATCAGCATAGATGAAGAGCAGAATTATCAATGGATTTTATTTTTTTATCCTCACCCGAGGACATTTTTCCATTTTTTGTTCAGGTAGAGCGGGGGGGTGGGGGTGGGGAGTGGAGAGAGAGGAACAGAGAGAGAGAGAGAGAGAGAAACATCGATGCGAAAGGGACACATCGAGTGGCTGCCACCCGCACAACCGACCAGGGCCGGGGACAAACTGCAACCGAGGTACGTGCCCTTAGCGGGAACCGAACCAGGGTCTCTCAGGACCGCAGGCCGATGCTCTACCGCTGAGCCAAACCGGCCAGGGCTATCAATGGATTTTATATACAAAAAGTTTTGATATGGGTTAGAATCCAGTCTTAATTAATCTTTAGGAAAACATTTGTCTACTTTTGGTATAATATCAAAGAAAACCATAATTATCTGTAAAGGCTATTAAAATACTACCTTTCCCGAGGAATCAGAAGATGGCAGTGGGCAGGACCGCAGGGAGGGTGAGTGTGTGAGAAAGTGTGAGTGGACGTGAAAGTGGACAATGAAACCCGAGCAGTGCAGAGACGCGGAGCAGAAAGTTCCTGTGCTGTGGACAAAGCAGCCGGCTACCGTGTTACCCACAGGATCTGTAGGGTGCTGAAACTCCAGAAAGGTTTATGAGACCCAGCAGGGACTGCGCGATCTAGTTACCCACGGGGCCCATGGGGTGCTGAAGCACCAGAGAGGCCTGTGCGACCCAGCAGGGACTGTACCATCCAGTTACCCGCAGGACCTGTGGGGTGCTGAAGCACCAGATAGGCCTGTGTGACCCAGCAGCCCATAACATATAGAGCCCAGTCCCCAAAGGGACTCTGTGATCCAGTTACCCGCGTGACCTGCAGTGTGTGGGGGCACCAGAAAGGTTTGTGAGACCCAGCTGTGCACAACATAGGCAGAGAGAATGTGAAAATGGAGGTGGAGTGAATAGAAGCTACGCAGATGATCTCCCAGGACCAAACGGGAATTACAACTAAAATAAAGACAAATCCTCGGAAAAAAGCAAAAGAAAAGCAGCAGGACAGGACCATATAACCAGGAACAGAAAATTTGGCAGAATTTTCCCACAGGGAAAATTTAGCAGAATCTGCAGAGGCACGAGAGGGTGGCGGGCTAGGAGCCCAGGGACAGCAGCAGTCTTAGCTGTGAGCAGTGTCCTTGGGGAATAAAGACCAAGCCCGCTCCACAGCGCAGAGAGCCAGGATAGAGCACTAAAATAGCCACAGCCACTCACCTGGGCGCTATGGCAGAGGGAGGGCAAACTGGGCTGGAACTCTGTGGGGACACCCGGGATTTGGAGGGCACTCAGAGTTTTTGCTGAGTTGCGGCCACAAAGGACGGTGGCCAGTGTGCTCCTTCCCTGAGCTGTGGGAAAAAGCAGCAGCCC